CCTAAATTTTGCCTCTTTGTTGATTATGAACAAAATGAAAACAAAAACATTCATGTGTCATGAAGAAAGTGTCCTGTCAGTTAATTGGAAAGGATGCTGTTTTAATCTTCATTTCATTCTTTCCAAAGTTTTTGACACAATTTTAAAATACTATAAGATATTATAGGTTGAGTGGATGATCTAAAAACAGCTGCTTTATATCATACAGATGTGTGTTGATGATTTGGGGTATTTACAAAAGAATTAAACAGTTCTGATATTTTCTATGATATTGAAACTAACCTCCTCAAAACACATGTAGAAGCAGGTCTGAACTGAGAGATGTTGCTGTGTTTGGCTGAGCACTCATTGAGTAGCTCGCCAGTGTGTTCGATTTCTCCATTACATAAAATACATACGTTTGACCAAAGTTTTGTTGGCAAAATAATTTATTGGTTAATTTAAAGTAGGATTGTAGCACAGTTCTTCAGTGGTGATGTTAACTTTCAGTCTTCAAAGAATCTTAAATCCTTCTAAAACGTGGTTTATACATCTGTAAATTGGCTTGGAGCCAGCAGAAGTGCACATTGACATTGCTAGACCACTTTTCTCGTGTACATCACATTTTTTTATAATTTGAGCGAACAGTGCGACTTAAAGGCAACATTGACTGCAAAGGTGTGGAAAGAACCTCTATTTAAGCATTTCAAAGAATATTGTAGGCTATATGGATTCATGTACATTCACTTCACTATTTCAGATGTTTATGAGACTAACTTTCATTTCAAGAGTTTTGTTTTGTAAATTATGAATGAAAATATTTTAAATATACTGCATACATATTATACAAGTACATATAAGCTGGTAAATATATATATATATATATTTACAGTGGTGTGAAAAAGTGTTGGCCCCCTTCCTGATTTCTTATTTTTTTGCATGTTTGTCACATTTTAATGTTTCAGATCATCAAACAAATTTAAATATTAGTCAAAGATAACACAAGTAAACACAATATGCAGTTTTTAAATGAAGGTTTTTATTATTAAGGGAAAACTAAATCCAAAACTACGTGGCCCTGTGTGAAGGTGTTCCTATATATATATAGTGTTCCTATAATAAATATTAATTTATTTGTGGCGTTTGATTTCATTGAATAAACATGAGCGCTGCACATTTCAAAATCAAAACGCAGCGCAGGTGTTTTACATGAAATGCGTCTCTGAAGGGAACCGACTGTATTCAGAAACGTTTTGATGACACTTTCATTTTTATCTAATAGAGCAGCTTTCATGAGCGGAGCTGCTTTGATTACAGCCATTACTTGGGAAACCACTAGTTCTACTGCTCTCAAAGCGCCTCCTGCTGGCAGAGAATGAATTAACATTTTCAATAATAAGCTCGTCTCCAGCAACATGTTTTTGTTGTTGCTCAATTTTTTTGTTTTCTGCAGCAACTCAGAGCACTTTTCATATTCTTTATCCTGGCTGAAGCACATTTGTTTAAATCTATAAGAATAATCAGCCTACACTACCAGTCAAAGGTTTTTGAACTCTAAGATTCGTAATGTTTTTTTTTATGAATTCTCTTCTGCTCACCAAAGCTGCATTTATTTGATCCAAAGTACAGCAAAAACAGTAACATTTTGAATTATTTTTACTATTTAAAATAACTGCTTTCTATTTGAAATTATAGAAATTTTATTTAGCGCTGCAATTTTATTTATAATACTTTTATTTAGCAAGGATGCTTTAAATTGATCAAAAAGATTATAATGTTACAAAAGATTTCTATTTAAGATAAATGCTTTTCTTATGAACTTTCTATTCAACAAAGAAACCTGAAAAAATTATACTCCTTTGTTTTCAACATAATAATAAATGTTCTTGAGCAGCAAATCAGCATATTAGAATGATTTCTGAAGGATCATGTGACTGGAGTAATTATGCTAAAAATTCAGCTTTGAAATCACAGGAATAAATCACATTTTAAAATATTTTCAAATAGAAAACTGTTATTTTAAATAGTAAAAATATTTCTAAATGTTACTGTTTTTGCTGTATTTTGGATCAAATAAATGCAGGCTTGGTGAGCAGAAGAGACTTCTTTAAAAAACATTAAAAATCTTACTGTTCAAAAAACTTTTGACTGGTAGTGTATGTCAGCCTATAGTTTGATGTAAGGTAAACATTAATTTATTTGTGCTGTTTTTTTTTCTTAAATTTTATATAGTTTTATAGGAAGAGGTTTCATAGACTTGGAAAATTCATTTTTCAGAAGTTTTTATGTACAGACATCTGTTGTGGGTGTTCTTGGACGTTTTATGAGGCTTTTTTTTATAGTGTTCATATCGATATCGGAATTATATTGTATCGCTCAGTTAAGGTCAGTGTTCATGACTCCACCATAAGAAAGAGACTGGGCAAAAATGGTCTGCATGGCAGAGTTCCAAGACGAAAACCGCTGCTGAGCAAAAAGAACATAAAGTCTCGTCTCAGTTTTGCCAGAAAACATCTTCAAGATTCAAGATTTTTTATTTGTCACACACATGGTTATACAGAATATATGACCAGCAGTGAAATGTAAGTCAGGTCCGCTCCATGGACAGTGCAATTATTAAAGAACGCAAACACAAGAAAAATATATATAAATATAGGTATGGAAAAAAAAATAATAATAATAGATAAATAAAAAAAATTATTAAGAATAAAATAAAATGTGCAGGACAGTATACTGTATACTTAATAAATATTAAGATGAGCAGGTATGTACAAGAGAAGAATGTGCAGATAGGTTGTACAGGGTAGTTCAATAGCAGCAATAGAGTAAAAAAATAAATTGTCAGTATATTAAGTGTCTTACTGATAATTAAGTGAAGTCATGTTGGTGTTAAGAGACTGAGTATGAGTTTACACATGGAACAGTGGAGAACCTTCGCAGGAGTGGCCGGCCGACCATAATTACCCCAAGAGCACAGCGACGACTCATCCAAGAGGTCACAAAAGACCCCACAACAACATCCAAAGAACTGCAGGCCTCACTTGCCTCAGTTAAGGTCAGTGTTCATGACTCCACCTTAAGAAAGAGACTGGGCAAAAATGGTCTGCATGGCAGAGTTCCAAGACGAAAACCGCTGCTGAGCAAAAAGAACATAAAGGCTCGTCTCTGCAGTCTGATGATCCCCAAGACTTTTGGGAAAATATGGCATTTCAGAAAAAGAACATCATACCAACAGTAAAATATGGTGGTGGTAGTGTGATGGTCTGGGGCTGTTTTGCTGCTTCAGGACCTGGAAGACTTGCTGTGATAAATGGAACCATGAATTCTGCTGTTTACCCAAAAATCCTGACGGAGAATGCCCGGCCAGGTGTTCATGACCTCAAGCTGAAGCGAACTTGGGTTCTGCAGCAGGACAATGATCCAAAACACACCAGCAAGTCCACCTCTGAATGGCTGAAGAAAAACAAAATGAAGACTTTGGAGTGGCCTAGTCAAAGTCCTGACCTGAATCCTATTGAGATGCTGTGGCATGACCTTAAAAAAGGCGGTTCATGCTCGAAAACCCTCCAATGTGGCTGAATTACAACAATTCTGCATAGATGAGTGGACCAAAATTCCTCCACAGCGCTGTAACAGACATATATATATATATATATCTTTGTATTTGTAAAGTATTTGTCTATTACAGAGTAAAACAAAACCTTTTTACATAAAAAAACAAGTATTTGTATAGTAATATTAATTAACCTATGAACATTACAAGAGAAAAAAAAAATTCAGATCCTTTATGTAGTATTTCTATAATAAATGTGTACATATGGTCAGTGAATTAAATGGAAAAATAAATATTATATTTTTGTATTTAATATACAACAATTATGTTAATAATGCAAATTTTAAGATGTTGATTAAATATTATTGAATGGTCATACTCTGTTTTTTGTTGGGTGAACAGGCAAACTAAAAAAAAATTTAAAGAAAGACTGTATATTTCTTAAATTTTGAAATGGTGAGAAGTAATGTAATAAGAGCTGCATACTTCTTACTGTAGTCCTTGTCTTGAGTTGTAACTGAGTCGTCTTTTAATTAAACATTAATTAAACATCCTCATTTAATTAAATATCCTGAATAGAAAATTTGTAATTTAATTTTGACTATATGATTCACCAAACTACTACTAAACATAATTTCAGAGAATAGTAAGACTATTAATGCACACGCAGTCAGCAAGTCACAACAGTGCTGTGCAGGAGAAAGCACAGCTAACCAAGGCATGTGAATATTAATGCTGAAGATAAATGAGTTACAAACAATAGATAGACCTTCCACTGGACATCCATGTGGACAAACGAGATTTACCAGGATCTTCCTGAAGAACGCTGTTCCTTTATTATTCTCACTGTATGACCATTTAGTTCCCACATTTACAGACACAGATCTTCTGTGAGCCTTGTGTTCTGATTTCATATAGACCCAGTTCTCTTATTTCATCACTCTACATCACTTTAGCAGGAGCGCGAGTGTGATGCTCGAATATGATTGAATAAATGAGTCTACTTACGAGTGAGCGGGGAAGGAAGTGAATGGATGAGATATAATTCGTAGTCTGTGTTTTTTGGCTCAACATCATAAAGTTTGAATGCATTTAAATGTGAAGTGTAAACAGAACCACAGTTTCAGTTGACTGCATCTGAGACACAATCACAATTCAGTGCATCTGACTAACAATACCTGAGATTTCACATCAGCTTTCAGCACCTAAATCCTGGTTTATACTTATTATGGTTTACTAAAAGACCAATTTTCTTGTGCATATGGTGTTTTCCCAGTAAAATGATCAACTGTACTATATATTATACTTGTATAGTTTGTTGTTTATATAATACATTATTAATTATTTTAGCATATATAGTATCTTTATTTTAATAATTGTTTTGTCTTTAACATAAAAAAATACATAAAAAAAAGAAAAGTTGCCAAGGCTTTAGACTGGATCTGTTAATCATGAAGTTTCTGTAGATCCTGAACTGAGAGACTGAAGAGTGTCATTGTTCTCTACAGGTTGAGGGATTGTGGAGTCACAGATGAAGGTTGTGCTGCTCTGGCTTCAGCTCTGAGATCAAACCCCTCACACCTGAGAGATCTGAGTCTGACATTTAATAAACTAGGAGCGTCAGGAGTGAAGCGGCTCTCTGATGGACTGAAGGATCCTCGCTGTAAACTGGAGAAACTCTGGTAAGATGATATAAATCTGTCAGCATCCTCCTACATTTTGCTCCTTTGTTGATTATGAAGAAAATGAAAACCAAAACTGTCATGAAGAAAGTGTCCTGTCAGTTAATTGGAAAGGATGCTGTTTTAATCTTCATTACATTCTTTCCAAAGTTTTTGACACAATTTTAAAATAGTTTACAAAAGAATGAAACAGTTCTGATATTTTCTATGATATTGAAACTAAGTCAAGTCACCTTTATTTATATAGCACTTTTAACAATACAGATTGTGTCAAAGCAACTGAACAGCATTAATTAGGAAAATAGTGTGTCAATAATGCAAAATGACAATAGTTAAACACATTTTCAGTTAAAGACAGTTCATCATTGAATTCAGTGATGTCATCATCCAGCTCAGTTCAGTTTAAATAGTATCTTTGCAATCAAGTCAACGATATCACTGGAAATGAAGTGTCCCCAACTAAGCAAGCTAGAGGCGACAGCGGCAAGCAACCAAAACTCCATCGGTGACAGAATGGAGAAAAAACCTTGGGAGAAACCAGGCTCAGTCGGGGGGCCAGTTCTCCTCTGACCAGACAAAACCAGCAGTTCAATTCCAGGCTGCAGCAAAGTCACATTGTGCAGAGGACTCATCTGGTTCCTGTGGCCTTGGTGATAAATTGACTCTTGTCATAGTGTTACATTTTCAGAGTTAAATTAACTCTATTTTGAGTAAAAAAATTAACACTGCTCAACACTGAATAGTGTTACCAGAGTTTAACACTAGGGGATTGACCTAATTAATGCAGCCTAAAAATCCTTTAACGGATTTGAATATTAGAAGCGTATTAGTGTGTTATGTGTAAGCCAGGTTAAAGAGATGGGTCTTTAATCTAGATTTAAACTGCAAGAGTGTGTCTGCCTCCCGAACAATGTTAGGTAGGTTATTCCATATAAACTAACCCCCTCAAAACACATGTAGAAGCAGGTCTGAACTGAGAGATGTTGCTGTGTTCGGCTGAGCACTCATTGAGTACCTCGCCAGTGTGTTAAATTTCTCCATTACATAAAATAAATACGTTTGACCAAAGTTTTGTTGGCAAACAAATTTATTGGTTTATTTAACAGGGTTTCTGCAGGATTTTTAAGCTCAAATTTAAGACTTTTTAAGACCTGCACAAATAAAATTAATACCATATGAGCGGGGTTGGGCAATGTCTATAGTACCATATTAAACTGTAAAATTACTATAAAAGCATAATTTATGGTTTAGATACAAGTTTTCACAAAAACTAAACATTTTATAAAATGATAAACTTTACATTTCAGCCTTTAAACCACTTTTAAGAAAATAGATGAGTCAAAAGTATTAATTATTATATAAATTTAAACAATTATTATCAATAAATTATTATTAAATAACATAAATTAAGGGTGTGCGATATTAACAAAAAATTATATCTCAATCATTTTCTGGGATTTTATCGATAGCGATAATTAGACAATATTTTGATGAGTGTGTTATTGTGCTGACTTCTTAGGGACTGCCGTGGACAGCTTACTCCTGAAATTTTTTATATTCTTCATATTCTGTGTGGTCAGATCACAGCAGTGATATAAATTTATCATTTCCAAACAGTTTTATGGGCATTGTTACATTTAAGCCATTTTTTCTAAAAGTATGTTCCATATTTTGAGTCAAATTCTCGCATTTGGGCTGTTACCAAGCAAATGAAATCAGTATCAACAAAATGTATCTTAAATCTTTAGCTGCATTAGACGTGGCATTTAGATGCATTTACACACTGTTTAATGCAGCTCTGAGGGACATGGATACTTTAATCTGCAGTTACAAATGCATAAATAATGTTTATTAAACATAAAACACTTCATTTAAAAATGAAAAGGTACCATAAATGTGAAATTAAAACTGCCAGCAGGTGGCAGCAAGTCACTGTTAAGGGAGTCATTATGATTGAACCGAATCATTTAAACGGTTGATTCATTCAGGAACGAAACACTAGGGATGGGCGATACCTCTCATTTTATTTTCGATCCGATAGCGATATTTTCAAGCCCAGTATCGTCAATATCAATACCAATACAGATACCTCTAAACTAAACTAAACTATACTGATCTTTTAAATTATTAAAAGATTATAATCAGTAATTATACTCACTTAATATTAGATTTTAAAGCCATGTTCTTTTAACATTTCATAGGCCTTTTTTGTTTACACTGTCAGAAATAAAATATACTATAATTGTATTTTAGCCCTTTACTGGGGCAGTAACCTCAAAGGTGCAACTGTACCCCTAAAAGGGAGCATATTAGTACCATACAAGTATGCATGCTTTAAGGGTAGATAAGTTACAAAGGTGCACCTTTGAGGGTACCTCATGAAAAATAAACATGGTGTTACATAAGTACTAAATGTATTATTATTATTATTATTATTACCATTGTAAATTTGTGGTTACTGCAGTTTTAGTGCAAATACTGTGGTAAACTGTGGTTACTGTAATAAAACCATGGTTATTTTTTGTAAAAGGCTGCCAGGCTGTTGTACCCCTAAAGGTGAAACTTTAGCATATTTTTTTCTGACAGATTTATTAACAGCAATTACAGAATATGTCACAATCCAACCAGTTTAAATACATTTACTTGCACAAACTAGTCAATTTAAAATAAATATTACATGTACACAAAAGTTTGGTGTTAGTAAGATTTTGTAATATTTTTTTTTAAGTCTCATGCTCACCAAGGCTGCACTTATTTGAACGAAAAAAACCCCCCCGTAAAAGCAGCAATATTGTGAAATATAACAATTAAAAATAACTGTTGTCTATTTTATTATATTTTAAAATTTAATTTATTTCTGTGATGCGCAGCTGTATTTTCAGCATCATTACTCCAGTCTTCAGTGTCACATGATCTTCAGAAATCAGTATAATATGCTGCTTTGCTGCTCAAGAAACATTTCTGATTATTATCAATATTGAAAACAGTTGTGCTGTGCTGGAAACTGTGATGCATTTTATTTTTCAGGATTCTTTCATGAATAGAGAGTTCAAAAGAACAGCATATATTTGAAACAGAAATCTTTTGCAACATTATAAATATCTTTATTGTCACTCGAGATCAATTTAATGCATCCTTTCTAAATAAAATTATTTCTTCTAATACAATTTTTACTGTAGATTACTTAATGCATTAAACTTTTTCTGTCTGCTTGATTGCAAAGACTTTTAATGACATGCTGCTTCCTCTGAACGGTTGCTCTAAATAATAAAAGCAGTTCCCACCTTCCCCTTCTTCATGGCATTGTAGATGTCTTTGTACTGCTGGAATTTCTCCAGTTCGGCTTCGACCAGAACCTGCCGAATGTGCATCACTTCCTCCACTGTCAGAGCCAGACACTCCACCGGGAAACAAAACTCCTCCTGTCCAAACATCGACCAGACGTCAGCAGACACAAAACTACAGCAGCGATAGCATACTAACATACTACGACAGAAAACAGCCATAGTGACAGAGGATGAAGTTTGTACATTTACATTTACATTTAGTCATTTAGCAGACACTTTTATCCAAAGCGACTTAGAAATTAGGACAATAGAAGCAATCAAAACTAACAAAAGAGCAATGCGCTATAACAAGTCTCAGTTAGCTTAACGCAGTACATGTAGCAAGTTTTAAAAAATATATATATAATATATAAAAAGAAAACAGATAGAATAGAAAAAGAATAGAGCAAGCTAGTGTTAGAGGTCTTTTTGCTTTTGTTAATTGTATAATAAAATGAAAAGAAAACAGAATACAAAAAGATTAGAAAGCAAGTGTTAGTTTTTTTTGTTTGTTTTTCAGTGTCACATAATCTTCAGAAATCATTCTAATATGCTGATTTTTGTTGCTCAAGAAGCATTTATTAGGCTATAATTGCTGCTTTATATTTGTGTGGAAACCGTGATGCATTTTTTCATAATTAATTTTATATATAGTAACAATGTTATGTAATGTAATAATGTGGCAATGGTTTCTTAAGATGCTTTTGGGAAACGCAGCCCTATTTGAACAAGCACTGCGTCAGCATCGAACGCTGTCTGTGATTGATTGTTTCTGTCTTTCAGCATTTGCGTGTGTTCCGATGAGCAGGAGAAATGGTTCTATCCAACACAATTATTCGCTAATATAGTCTATTTTTCCACTTAGAAGCTTATTTTATGCACCGAATTTCTTGATAAATAAATAAAATAAATGGTTTAAAAAATGCACTTTAGAATGTATATTTTTATGTGAGGATCGATCCTTTCGATACAACGTTAGTATCGATACTTGAGAATCGATCCGCCCATCCCTACGAAACACCGTCCTGTTACTCAGAGACGCAAAACAGCGCTGTGGCTGTGTTTGGAATGATTTTTGTTGGAAAAATAGAGCAAAAACAGAAAATATGGTGTCTAAAACGTAAGTCTCTTAATATTAGCTTTTTTTTATTGAACTGTTGTATAAAATCAATATCACATTTGCAATCATGCTGACTTTTGGAGAGAAAAAACGTCACTCTTCGTATGATATTAACTATATAAAATTATATAAATATATACATTTTCTGCCCCATATCTTGAATTATGTGATCATTTTAAATGCATTTTAATAGACTGATTCATGCAGTGAAAGAACGCACTCTAAATGCGAGCACTAGTCTAACCTACTAGACTTCATCACATAATGTATGCGTGCACTCGATATACTCGATAATATCATATCAAACCATACATATGGCACACCCCTATACTGTTTAGATTTTTAAAATGCATTGTCTTTGTAACAGGGCTGACAAGACG